TCGCTATGCAACCGACATGACAAATAATTTATCATCTAAAATATTTGTTACGATTATTAGAAAAAAAAATGAAGGTATATTTAATCTTAGACATTATAGGAAATGTAATGATAATGTAAATGATAATAGTTATACTATTTTTCGCCATATTATACTTTTCTGTTGTAACATTGTTAAATAACGTGAAAATTAAACTAATTAAAATATCTTAAAATACAAAATGTAGGAATGTGTAAAACCGTTTAATAAGTTATAGTGTAATAAATCTAAGTATATTTCGTTAAAATATTAAATTAAAATAAAATGAAAAACTGTATTATTAAGCCTCAGATTTCTCTATTTACCTACATTTTTTACACAAAATGCCGTTATTCAACTAAATTATATTAAATCTTAACTAAACATAATGAAAATATTGAACCTGAATATGCTCTTTCAAATTATCTTCGTTCCTTTTATTCCAATATTTATAAAGTTTATAAACTTTATGCTTTAAGCTTTCCTAGCCTTCGAGTTCTAGAAACGCAAATTATAATAATATGGTGATCTAGTAGAAATTATCTTAAGCCCATTTTTGCTTTTCTTCGTTTTTGCTTGTCAAAAATCAGAAATATGAAATTTATTTTTAGTAACAATTACATCATTTCTGAATTTTTATTAGGTAGAGTTTATTGTATACATAAGTTGCTGCCATATAATAATGTCTATAGATCCCATATGATTTAAAATGATAATAATAGTAATTACCTAATAACCGGGTTTTAGTATAGGGTGAAACCTTGAAATAGAATCTTTCGCGATGCCATACCGATATTATATGTCGACCTTCATCTACCTGTAACCGCTTCCGGATATCAGATGTTGTTATCTGGCGGTCGGTACATTGTCTTGTTGGTTAATAAAAATAATGACAAACTATTTTAGAATTTTCATTCGTTACTGGATGATTTGTATTCATACAAGTTATTAGATAAGTGTGTCTCTTTGTTTTTCGGATTCGATCAACGGATCGGATATGATTTTTGTTTTCAGATTTTAGGGCCGGGGGTCTAAATGTGTTTTTGTATCGATAGTGTTTTGTTGAATTTCGTTCATCTTAGCAAAGACTTTTGTAAGAAATAAATAACACCTATCATATGGAGCTACTTGAATTTGTATATTAAGATTTACTGATTTAGCTTACAGCTTTATATTATGATCTGCATTTAAAACAGGTTCTTGGGCAAAAACAACTACAATTTCTGATACTAATTACTTATACTCTGTGAATGTTGGAACGTAATCGCTTTATAATTCTTTGTATTGCGTGGAATGATTTCTAATGTGTCCGAAATATAACTAAATTTATGGGCGGCATATTCTTTGTTAATAGTTTTTATGCATATTAAATTAAGAGATAAGGTAGACTGTTATAGATGTGTTATACATATAATAAAAGTAGATGTAAGAAGAGAAATAGAACAAATCCAGATTCTTTCAATTTTTTTGTTTCTCTGTCTGTTTGTACGGGCTAATCTCTGAAACTGTTGGACCGATTTAAATGAAATTTGGCATGTTGGTACATCCCCGGTCAACATTTTAGATACTTTTCATTCCGGAAAATTAAAGAGTTCCCGTGGGATAGTTAAAAACTATAGTAAATTATACAGCTTTGTACACAGAAACTACCTACTGATTGGATTTTAAGGAAACTTTACAATAATATAGTTCATTAGAAAATAGAATAACAAATAGGCTACTTTTTATCCCGAAAAAATGTACGGTTCCCGTGGGATAGATTTGATTTTGTTTGTCTAGTGAATAAATATAGATCGCAGTAATTGGATGGAATAAATACTATGTAGTAGGTACCTACAGTTGGTACAACTGTAAAAATAAATAAAAAGTTCTTCCTACTTCCAAGTGTATTCTTTGAAAAGTAAGTAGGTTCTAATTAGTAAATTTTTCAGGAATTCAGTCAGAACTGAGGCATTTTTAACCGAACAATTATTTGAGTTTTTGATATATAACAAGTGTAGGTAATTATGACATCGAATTAAAGTTTTGTCTTTGACTACAGATAGGTTCAATAAAACATAAATTTTACATCAATATTATAAGGTTGTAATTAACTTGTTTTGTTTCTCTTTTGCAATATCTTTTCGGCGCTCTATTTAAAAAGGTTTCATTTGTATATCCTGCGACCTCCGACCTCCAACGTCGACGACAAGCTGATGTTCGGTCATTATTTAAACACGTGTTTCCGGGAACGTTACAAACCCCATCATTTATGGAAATGTCAGTCTCCTCGGAATTTCCTTACTATTATAGAATGAATTTTTTTATTGCGAACATAATATGTATTTGCGGACTTTTTCTAAAAAGTTTTGAATTTTTTAGTGTAGGTTGTAGTGTTTCGTAATTTTCACTCAAGTTTTTGCCCTAAATTAGATCTCCAAAAATAGGTTATTTATATAAGAGTTTAAATATGTGAGTTAAACAAAGTTGTATGTAAATGATGTCATAAGCAAATCTACGAGATTTGTATAAGAACAACGCAAAAACACGTAAAAAATGTTTGGTTCGACATAAGAAAAAATGCTTTTAACCAATAAAATACAATAAGTTTCATATCAATCTACAAATATAAAATAAAAATATTATACATGTATATTGTTAAAATGGCAGTTGCATAACTGCCAGAAGAATAGACTTACAAGCAAAAATATTTATTTGTCGTGGCAGAAGTGACATCAGTACAAATACTAACTAATAATAATTAGTAACTGCCTCGGTGGTGTAGTGGCTTGCATGTACGGCTGCACACCCGGAGGTCCTGGGTCGGGTCAAGTTTAGTTATTGAGTCTTTCTGTACCCATAGTAAGCCTCAGTAACAGCCCAGATTTGGGAAGTTGGCGGTGTTTCACCCTCGTGCCTCGGAGAGCCCGTAAAGCCGTCGGTCCTGCGCCTTAACTCTCACTGGCCGTGTCGAGTGGTCGTCCCACCAGAGTATGAGAGTGACAGGAATAGAGAGTGCACTTGTGTCTACGCGTACACTTGTGCACTATAATATCTCCTGCGCAGTTGGCTAGTCTCAATGAGATTGGCCGCCGTGGCCGGAATCGGTCAGGAGAACATCATCAAAATTGTACGACTACTGTATTATACTTATTATTTGAAAAAAATATGTAAGAGACTAAATGAAAAGCTTTTGGATAATTTGTTGATCTGCTAATTCGCAAATTAAATAAAATAAAATGGCTGGATAGATTTCAATATGACTTTTTTACAGGAAAGTTTTATTGAATGAATAATAAACAAAAAGCTAAGTTTTGTTTTATAAAATTCCAAGTAAAGAAGTATCGGCTCTATGCAGATAAACAAAGCGAGCCTCATGTAACTGATTACGAACTAATAGAAAAACACAGCTGGCTTTAACTAAATTCTTCTTAGTCTAATAAACTATGATCGTTCAACGTAGAGCTTCGTCAACCGAATGTACTACATACGTTGAATGTAACATTCCATTGTATCATCTGTGAAGGGGGTGTAGCAGTGCTCTAAATAACAAGCCTTAGTCATACTCACGACTACGACCGAGCCTTAATTTTGTTATTTTAATACGTTTTTTTAGTAGTTTCTGCATTTCATAAACTCATAGTGTTTTTATAAACTTGGATGTTCATGACATCCGATATCCGTTTTATATATTTGATCAAATAGCACAAGCTCTGTTTGGATTAACTCGACTTTATTAAATAGCAAATTAACTTAGCAACTCTGAAATATGTCATCCAAAGCCATTCCAATAATCTATATTAAATATTCCTTCGAGCTAAGATGAAGGTCAAGAGTAAGCCCATTTTTAATTAAAAAAATAAATAAATGTGAACCTAGCTACGAGTACCTTTATAATATAATATATCAGTCTATTTTATAGCAGGACTGAGGGCCCAACCAAAAAAGAAGGAAATAATATAAAAACAATATTTTTTAAGGTATAATCTTGATGCCTAGAACAAAAATATTCTTATCTTGGTGCTTAGAAAAAACAGTATTTGTTATACTTATAGTTTCAATTAATAAAGATAAAAAAACTGGGCATAACGTGGGCGGATCGGACGTAAATTGACAGAGCATATACTTGTAAATATATAGAACATTTGCAATGTTGACAATCATCCTCAATATCATATTTATTTAATAATTTCTTATATACTTATTATGTAACATCAGTACGTTGAGGCTGCAAAAGCCTGCCGTCTGATAGTACAGTCTCTACAGTAAAAGTATACCTGAAAAGCAACCACTTATCAACCCTCCTATCATGTTTTAGAGAATCTGCAGTCTAAATTTAAAAAATGATCTGAATTTTAAAAGTTAATTTACGTGACTAAACTAATTTTATATACTTATTCTTCTAAATCAATTTTAAGTAAATGAGTTTATATAAGCTGACTCTTAATATGAACTTATTCAATAAACGTATGTTTTCTTAATCCCATTAAGCACTTAGTCTATTTTATTACTGTAAAATACCTAGTAACTACTTACGAAATTATGCGCAGCTGTTGGTCAGGGTCGATATATAATAATTACGCAACATCCTACCTTTGTTTTCAATTCAAGCCTTAGCTCTCATTACAGTAGACAGAGCAATGTTATTCAAAAAATCTAACAATGTGTTTGTTCAGGCGATTATCGTTTAACGTGATGACGTGAGACACGGTAAAGCGACGCGAGGTGAAGCCCAATTTCGCAAGAGCTTGAAAAATATACATCCCTATTTAACTCTGTTTGGAATTAAAATCAAAATAAACAGCATAATTGTGCCTTTATTTATCTTTGCAACAACAACAAAGACTAATTCGTGGTGAAGTAGCGATGGGCGACGGTATTCGCTGTTCGCGTTTCGTATATATATCTACTTATCTATGAATAACACAGTGTGATTACAAACATTATCCAATCGGGTTGGGTCGTATAGTTGAAATATATGGTTATATAGGTTTAAAATTTACCTTAGTGGGTGCCGGGCGTCGTGGGGGGTTCACTCGCGTGTATTGCGCATAAACCCTCATGGAATTATTTTCTAGAAAGAGGGCACGCAAGAGACTTGCCGACGCGGCGGTGCGCGGCAGAATCGCGCGGCCTCGACCTTGGCCGTCAAACCGGCGCATGCGCCCCGCGGGCCGCGGCCCCCCTTCTCCTCAGTCCTCCGGCAATTATGTCATTATGTTTGCTGCTGTATGTTGCCAAACAGACTCGCTCGGCGGCTGGACGCTGGATACAGATTCTCAGCATATTTCATATTTTACAACTAGCTACTCACCCTCGCTCAGCTCGAACTCGCCTCTACTTACGTTTTAACGTTTAGTATAGATTTCTCAGATATGAGATAGGTATTTTTCCACAGTAAAAAGTATCCTATATGTTGACCCGGATAACCAGCTATCATACCAAATTTTATCATAATCCCTTCACTGGTTTTTCCGTGATGCTGTAACAGACAGACAGACAGACGTCCAAAATTTCTAAAAACTAAATATTTAGCCTCTGTATCGATAATAATGTCTATTTCAATCAGGGTATGAAATTATCAAGATAAATATATCTTTTGATAATTATCAAGATAATTATCCGATAATTATCAAACAGATATAAACATTGCAATCCTTGTGTAGGTATTGGTATTCGACTACTTGCCTATCATAATTTACGTTAGAATAAATTATACACTTTTAACTATCAAGGTAATCTTTTATTATTATTATTTTTAATTTTTTTTGACATATACAAACTATGAAATAAAAACAGAATAAATTTAATCAACTATATAGATACTATTTAATTAAATTAAAGGGCTCTGCCCACTATACCGTCTCATACCATGACCGTGCTAGGACCATAACAGAATCGTGTCAGGCAAAAAAATATTCTTTGTATTAAAAAGTATGAGACTATGCCCACTAGACCGTTCCGTCACCAACCAACACCGTCGCGTGCCGTGCATGGAAAGTTAACAATAATTGTCGCCAAGAATATTTTGCCGGTGCCGATACGCTCCGTGTCTGGCACGCGATGTTGCCTAACCGGTGCACGCGGATGGCCAAACGGCTTGCACACGGGTTATAACTGCGTATGATGACCGTTCTAAGCCCGTTATAAACGTGTTGTCGCTTGTCTTCTAGTGATAAAATTTCCTTTTAAATTATAATTATTTTTTTTAAAACGGCGTGAACCTAGTAAGGTCGTGATCGACTGATGTTATTCTCTTTCTTCCTCGTTTAAAACAATGGCTATCATTGTTAATTTTCTGTCGGACAAGTTTCTAAAAGCCATCGTGTAGGTATAGGAAATAATTTTCGTAACAAAAATATTTACTCGCTCTTCCTGCCGCGGCTGCCTCACGCGAAAACACAGGTGAACTACTACGACTGAGAGAACGGGAACTATACGGATACGACACGCGGATGATACGCGGCTGATACGCGAATGATACGTTCTAGTGGGCATAATAGTCCGTGTCGCTTGTTTCCGTGCCTGATACGTTCATAGCACGGTCATGGTATGAGACGGTGTAGTGGAAAGACTGGTAATGAGTGGAATATCATCCTCATCCTCCTCAACTGCATTAACTCAGTTTGGTGATTGAGTTTTTTGAGCTGATTGAGAGAGTTCAGTTAGCTGATCGACAATGTGAAGAGTCACAAATTAAATATTTTCAATTATATTTTTCAAAGATAATTATCAACCCATATTTATCATGATAATTATCAAAGATAATTATCAATGATAATTATCGTTTCGAACCCTGATTTCAATAAGATTTTCCAAAAAATATATTTAATGTACGATTTCGGCTTAGTTACAATTTTATTATATGTATAGATTTAAATCTTAGATTATTAGACATATAAATAATCTAAGATTTAAATATCTAATTTCTGCAACACTGATAGATATGTAGCGCTATACTTATATTATGCAATCTTATTTCTAACCAATGAAATCTTTCCATTGGATTTTTTGCTAAATTTAGAACTTGTAATTAATTTATCAGTTTCTAAATAGATTTGTTTTTTTTTTTAATATTTAATGATACAAATAGGAATTTAAGATTAATATAATGATATACTTCGTACAGGTTATAGAGCCAAGCTTTGCTGCTGCTTTGTTTAAGGTTTTATATTTAATTAAAAGAATTATATGGTATTATGGATACCTTTGTAACAAAACTTTATTATGTGATAACTTTGAATTAATTATTTTCTATAATTTTCGAATGCTCTGTACCTTTATCCGAATCCGAAAGTTTTGGTATTTAATTAATAATTAAAATTAATTTGAGATCGTTTTTATAATCTATGATGATAGGTAATAGGTTTATCATCTGTTCACCGACATGGATACGTAAATGAACAATGCGCTGTTCTATGGCACCATATAACATAATGAATTCTAATAATAATTCTAACATCACACGGCAAGTAAAATGACGTAATGTTGTTGATTTACCTGTAAGATGCATAAAGGTAAATTAATTTTCTAACGTATGTGTACTCTGAATACATTGTTTATTTAAGTACTTAGTCTGTATATAATTTATTTTATAATTATTAAAATATTTTTATAACAATGAATAATTAGAAAATAAATTATACTAGATAAATATTTTGCTTTTATTACAAAATCCCTTAAAACGTATTACAAAATGTACATAATTTCCTTTATATTTTTAATATTTTATTACGATGCAAAAAATCCTTGCACAGCAATTAGATTTTCTAATAAATAAAAATTCAGTTATGTATAAACACCCCAAATATCCTAACTTGAGAAACGATTATTCAATGGATTTATTAAATACTAGCGGACCCGACAGACGTTGTCCTGCCTACACGTCTTTAATTTGAAAATTTCAAACTTTTTTTAATAATTTTTTTGATGAAAATTATTATTCAAATTGTGAATCTAAACCATTCCCAGATCCCCTTGAACACACACCAAAAATTTTATCAAAATCGGTCCAGTCGTTTGAGAGAAGTTCAGTGACATACACACTCACAGAAGAATTATATATATAAAGATTTCCCCAAATTAATTATAATAAATATTTTAAATAAAGTGCCACCTAGTTTAAGTTAACGTAAGCGAGTATTACTCACATTCGAGTCTTCTACATTTTAAACCCATTCGAACTAGCTGGCTAAGCAATTTCGCATGTAAATAATAGATGGCGCTGTTGAATATTCATGCTTTTTTAGATAATATTACGATAATTTTACTTATGCAGTTAAAAATAAATAAATCTTTATAAAACTTGTTGTTATATATATACTCTGTTTGTCAACTGATTTCCTTTTTTTCTGTTTAACGAGCTTAAGTGTTATCAATAAATCTAGCCAATCTAGGCCATCTAGCCAAGCTAGTGAGTACGTATACATTGACATTCTTAAACACTTTTCGTAAAATTTTGTCACTTCAAATATAAGTAACGCCTGGAGCCCTGCGATCTTGTACTATTAGTATAAATAATAAAAAGTAATCTCCTTTTTCTAATAACTTTATTTTCTTCTAACAATAATACTTTCACATTATTTCTAGGATTAAATTTTCTTTCAGAATTAACTACGTGTAGATTATAAAATAAATGAGAATTATTTGACCATTGTTGATAAAGCACCTCATTTATTCTACATATTATAACTATATATTTCACAGTCTTCAAAAATGTCAAAAACATTTTTATCTACCATTTAAATTAAATTTTTGAAGATATAATTTGTACACTCGGCTGTAAATTCTCTTGTAGGTAACCATTATTCGTATAATTAGCACTACTAGTTGGTCGTTGAACTTCTTGATTAGTTTCGGTCTCTCCCGAACTTTTAGGCCTGAAAAAAATATATGTAGAAACAGTTCTAAATTTTCACAAAATAAATATTATTTATACCTTTTAATACAAAAGTTTTATTATTTATATTAATGTAAGAGTTCTAATAAACCTAAAAAAATCATAAGTATATTTAATTTTTTTTTAAATGAATAATAAAAAGTTTTTATTAAAAACACATTACGAGGCTTTTACGGTTTATAGTCCAATTGAATCCGGTTTGGGAACAAAATATTGAGAACCTGAAGTTTTAGAATTTTAAAATGTTATATAAAGAATAGAAATTCGTAAAATGCCTCATCTGTCCAGCTACCCCAGAGAAATGGGGGGGACGCAAAGTGTTAAAAAATAGTTTTTTTCAATTTCCGGCTTACTGTGACGTTCTATCGAAATATGTTTTCTACAAAAGTTGTAGGTGTAGTAAAATCTACAACTTTTATAAAAAGTTTCGTATATTTTTTAATTTTTAATATTATTTAAATATTTATATTTATTACTTATTATCTTTTTTTAAATCTGTAACTACTAAAAGTAACCCAGGCTTTATATGTGCGCGCAAAAATCGGCGAAAACTGCATCTTGTGATGCATTATACGATACTGTATGAAGATACTATAGGTACTATACCTAAAAATTAAACTAAACGTGTTTATGGTGTTGAAATATATCCATTCTATTACCTACTCAACATCCTAAAAGAAAAAAAATGATTTTGCGTCAATTTAATTATTTTATTACTTATAAATAAATAGATTATAAAAATACCTGGGTGTAAGACAAATGACGAGTAGATTGTTGATAGGAGCTTCAGCTACGAGCCACGTGATAAGCGCAAAAATACAGCCTTCACAAATGATTCCGAGGGTAGACGTTATCTGCAACATAAGGCGGAACAGTGTTTGTTTGTCCTTCTCTTGAGCAATAACTTAAAAAGGGATTGACATAACTTATTTTTCATATAGGTATAATGACAGCAACTTTAGTATTTCACTTTATTTCCCTCTTAGAAATTTTCTAGGATTCTTTATTGATATTGATCAGTATCTTCCTGATCGATTTCGATTATGGCGGCTAATCTCTTTGAGACTAGCCGTGTACGCACGAGATATTATAATGCAAAGTGTATGCCCAGACACAAATACACTTTCTATTCCTTTTACTTTCAAAGTTCAGGGCCGCAGAGAGCACATAAAAGTTAAAACCGTCGGTTCTGCCCCCAATCTCTTATTAAGTGTAGACTTATTTTTTTCATATTTACTTACAATATTCATATAGTCATGATGTTGTGGGTTTCTCGTGACGTAGACATTGCGGGAGATGAACACGGTATGAATGAGGTAGAGTCCATACGAAAGGCGGCTTAACGGCACCCAGGGATACCAACTTAGAAAGCTTTTGAGGATTGCTAAGGAATTAATGTAATATATTTAATTATTCTGAATTGACTGAATTACTTTTACGTATATAATTTGTACATTGTACAAACAGATATTTTTGTAGCCTACTAATTAGCAATAGATATCTATGTTACTTTCTTAGATTTACGCGAATATTTGACATTTTAAATAAAACTATCTTTTCGGATTTTGTCGCGGATTTATTTGCATTTTTGTTTCGAAAGATATCTATGTTTTATATTCATATGTATATAAGCTAATTACTCCAAAACTCCTAAACATAACCATAATTTCTCCGCCCGCGTATTTGATTTATGAATAAATGCTCTGTTTGTTAGGTTCGTAGCTTGATGTTAGATAACCTATGAGCTTCCTGAATAAATAAGCTACAAAGTGTAAAAATTTAGTTGTGATGTGAAATATATTTTTTCCAGTTTTGGTTATTTAACATAAAAACGAAATAGCTCCTTTTTAAAAATCATTTAGGGTCCCGTAACTAAACGACAAAAACTGAACTCTAAATATTTTATGTCCGTCTGTTAGAGGTTCTGAATTCATTAAAAAAGACATTCTTGCCACTAAACATATTATTACCCTAATACCTATAAGGTTTTTAGTTTAAATTATTGGATGGTAACATTCGCAATTCATCACTGAATTAATAAAAATATTTAAAGATACATTCCATATTCTTATTGAGTAACTAAGCTGTGTTGGGGCTAAATATTTAGATTCAGATTTAAAATGAGATTTTTACTAGATATACTTACGGACATGTCCCAATGAGCAGCACATGACAAATAACATTAGAGAGGCGGCCCACGCTGGTCTGTTTATAGCCGCATAAATAGCGCTTTCGAGGACATCGTAGCTACGCCACAGGAACAGTGGACCAGTGAACATTACTACACCCATTATAAGAATACTGAAATATGCTCCAAGTATGGACCATTGCTGAAAAAGAACATAGGTACATATTTACTGATTAATTTTTTAAAAGGAGTATATTTCGACAGAGCACTTATTCATAGTAAGAGTATCTGTTGAATGATATATAAGGATTTCAATGGGTAATATTACTTGACTTGAAGTGGTTATTTAAAGAGTGCCATAAGCTTTACTTTAACTCGATACATTAGGTGGTACCCTCAAGTAAAACTGTAAAAAAGCGTTTTCCATTTTTAGTGTAGACGTAATAAGCAGGTAATTTGTAAGAAGAAAGTTTTTTAATAACTCATTCGATTAAACAATTTATTTAAAAAATATATTTATTGTAGATTTTTTTTTAAACCACTCGACCGATTTCGATAAAATTTATATGGCACCACCTGGGAAGTAAAATGCCTCAATGCCAAAATGTTTGAAACAAAAAAAATCCAAACGGTTCAGGCGTTTTGGCGTAATCGGTGAACATGCATACATAAAAAAATAGATTCCGACGAATTGAGAACCTCCTCTTTTTTGTAAGTCGGTTAAAAAGGCGAAGAAATTTTAAGTCGGGTATAGAAGAAATATAATATAATGTCAAAATTTTTACCCGAGGTATCTTGCTGTAATTATTTGAAGAGGAACAGTATATATGCAAATAACCAGCTAAGAAGCCTATTAAATATGCGGCGTAGCGCGTGTGACTCTTGATATACGTCATGTGAAACTGTAGCGGTCCTCGTGGATTGGAAATAAAACTGAAATTAATATAAAAATTGTTAGAGTATAGAAGCTATAACTAGATTTATGTAAATAAATCCTTAGAAATGTTTGTGTTTTATTTTTATTTTATTGATACCAAATAAGGACTCTTATAGGATCATAAGACGAATATAAGGAATATAATATAAGGAAGGCAAGCCATACAGTTTCTTTAAATTTTCATAGTGTTTTAATATCCAGATTAAACAAGGGTTACAAATATATAAATTAATTAAAATTTTCACATACATGTAGCATATTTAAATACAAAAATGTAAATCATGTTTTGTGGTTGCCATTTAATATGGAGCAACCAAAACACTTGGTCTTATCCACTGAAGTTGTAAGTAAATTACTTTTTTATATGGGACAATAGAATGGATGATGAAATATGCAAATAAACAGCCCATTAAAATAATTACCACTTAAAATATGATGTAACTTGGCTTGCCAAGTAGCGACCTTAGTTACATTGACGTTATCTTTTTACAAAACTTATCAATAAAATGATGACTTAGTGTGAATCAATGTGCAATTAGATGAAGTCAAGCGTAAACAATGTACAAAGAACGAGAATTTTCCATAATTGAGCAAATATAATGCGTTGCCTATACACGCTATATTTACATTTTAATACTCGTACTATTGTCTCATTTGTATCAGAATCCATATTTAGGTATATTATAAATTTGAAAGTGGGTTTGTTTGTTTGTTTGTTAGTTTGTTTGTCCTTCTTTCACATCAAAGCAGAGTGACGAATTGGCGTGATTTTTTATGCGGAGATAGTTGGAAGGATGGAGAGTGACATAGGCTACTTTATACCGCGGGAGATTATCTCATTCTCACGGCGAAACACGTTATAATACAACCCAAAAAATATTTATGGTTAGAATTACTAGAAACTGGATATTAATGCTCTTCAATACAATTAAATAAAGACGTGTTTTAGCATTTTTCGAAATTCATCCCATAAGAGGATAAAATAGGGGATGAAAAATTGTATAAAACCAACAATTTTAGTTTTTTTGTAGTTTTACTGCGAGCGAAGCGGCGGGTTCTGCTAGTGTATTTATAAAGAAATATATATGGAAAATTGAGATAGGTAACCTAAATAAATAATATTCAAGTTTTCAGAAATTCAAAATCACTAAAAAACATTCACAACTAATTCTTCTTCAAAAATCTATGCAAAGTGCAAACACATTAAACGCTATAAGCTGGAAAACATGAGCTAAGTGCTTCTCAGAGAAATAAAATGAATAATAATTATTTATCATGAAAAAGACTTTTTATCTCGTAACTAGCATTGCCCGCGGCTCCGCCCGCGTTCATATGACCAAAACCAAATTCTTAGGTTTTATATATTAGTATACTCGTATTACCATACCAAATTTCGTCAAAATCCCTCCAGTGATTTTTCTGTGATGTGGTCACAGACAGACAGACAAAAATTCTAAGAACTATAGATTAGGCCTCTGTATCGATAATAATGTCTATTTCAATAAGACTTTCTAAAAAATATGTATATAATGTACAGATTTGACTTAGTTAGAATTTTATTATATGTATAGATAAAATCGATAGAATCAATAACAATTTTCAAGTTTACGCGCTACGAGTATATCATGACATATGATGACTGATATAGTGTCTAAGTTAGTGCTGGTCAACTAATTTAACTTTTTAGCACTATTTCAAAAATAATTTAAGTTGAAATCTTAACACCTTATATTTAACACTTAACATTTTAATAGTCTTAAGACTTAACTTAAGTATCTTTACTTTTAAATTTTCTTAAATTACTTCAGATTTTAAGATGGTTGTCGATGGTTCAATTTCCAAAGGCGTTGCCTCTATTAAAATTGTAATAAAGGGTATACGTAGTTTCGCATACTGTCAGTCAACACGGGGTAATGAAAAGTATTATAATAAAATACAGATTCATCATATTTCCTGTCTGTCATCAAGAAATGAATCCCTTTAAATCAATTGGTAAGGAAAATATAATAAAGTTAGTATAAAAATACTTACTCATAAGTAAATAACTGAATAGCTGGTAAATTGTACAGATAATTTATGACTCCTGGAGTGACGATAGAAGCTATTGCTATGATGATAAAAAATAATTTTCCAATCGAAGGTTGTTTTTTATACAACACATACAGTAGGACCGTTATTACGAAGAAATGGAAGTCGCATGGTATGTACCAGCTTATGACTAAACACTGAAACAAAAAAAGTTATAAAATAAAAATGAAGTAAATATATTAGGAAATGCTTAATGGGGAAGCCAACAGTCCTGACCCTGGACAGCCCATATCTATCTGATGCATACCACTTTTTTGAGTCGCCAGTCCATTGCGCTTCGAGGTACCGAGGTAACCTAAATGAGGTCTTTTCCCTAGTAAATATTGGCTTTATAGCTAATTCTGAGGCATTAATTTTGTAGCATGTTATACCAGAGAGCTCATATCATATATTGCTAAATGTAGTTAGCTATTAAGATATTCCACATTGCCCGTGGATTCTTCGCACACCCTGCCACATCGCTAGCTTGGCCAGTGCTCTGGCCATGAATGCTCCATTAAAACTCTCCTAGAAACTGAAGACTATGAATGTGGATTTGACGGGTAGAATATTGCAGAATGTTTTACTACCGTCAGTAGTCCGGATTATTACCGTTCAGGCGGATTGTCAGATGCCGTAATCCACAAATACTTCTCTTACAGTTAAGGATAATGAAGTTATAGTTTTCAATGTCGTCTTAAAACGGACTTCGATAAAAACCACCACTGTAGAGAGAGAGAGTTAACTTTTTAATAGACGACGCTTAGGCGTGTTCAAATTTTAAGTGTTCAATTTTTCAAAAAAATATTATTATTAGTGGTCCAGTTTTGAGCATGTATGGCTGCAGATCCGGAGGTCCTAAGTTCGAGTCCCGGGCCAAGTTTAATTACTGAGGTCTTCTATTAAGATATTCTCAGTAGCAGCCCGGAGTTGGCGGTAGAGTACGTAAAGCCGTCCAACGTCTTAAATCTCACAGATTGTGTCGAAGTAGCGTTCCATCGGATTTTGAGAGTAAAAGGAATAGAGAGTGCATTGTGTATGTGCGTATACTTGTGCACTAAAATATGTCCAGTGCAGAGGACTAGTCTAAGTGAGATAAGGCGCCGTGACCCAAATCGGTCATGAAGACATTATTATTATAATTCTTGATATTTAAAAATAGCATTACGTACAATATTTTCACTATCGATGTAATTACTCAGCATTAGTAGACTGATCCACCAATTTTTTCGACACTGCTCCGTGTCTCCGGCAATGGCTCTATACCATAAGGGACCAGATCCAGTATAGGGAAAGATCGCGCAAATGTAGAATATGACTATAGCATATGCTACTATCAATCTGTAAGCAATTAGAGCTTAGTTATAGTTAAGTTTAAATAAAATTTTCAGTCATAGACTCATGCAGTCTCTGTAGAGTATTATTATACTCAACACTTGAGTGTATATAATGTGGAAATGTTAAAAAATATGTAACGCATTTATTCAGTAGAAAGTAATACAAAAATTATAAATTAGGGTCTTACTAATGTCTAACTAGAATTGTATACATATAGAGAAATAAGCTCAAACCTTGCATTTATATGCCTACAAGTATAGTCCGGGTCTCAGTATGGAGGTGGCCAATGACGTGGTTAATTAATTATATAATATATAACTATATTTATTTTTAATGTAACCACGTCCGTTCGTTTTGCTACCGTCACATGGGCGTAAGGTGAAAAGTTTATTCAATGATCATTGCTTTTTTGCTATAAAATTATAGTTCTTGGGTTTGTAGAGTTAAGGCGTGTAGAGTTAGAAGCTTGGCTCTACATGAGATCTGATAACTTTTTGACAGTGCGAGGCATATGGTCTCGTCTTGGCAACATTTTACATGAAAATGATTTTGTTGGGATCTTTAATTTCAACTTACCTGACATATCGTCTTAGAAAAAGTAAGAAAATATTAGGCAATCGTTTTGTCTTAATAAGAAACATCGCTGTTAAGAGTCCGGACAGTGCAAAATAAGAGTCTACAACGACGTCTTCGTGAAGCATTATCATACCAGCTATTGTCGTTGTTTCCTGGACAAAAAGAGATTTTGTCACTTCATATTTAAATTTTCATTTAAATATTTTCATTCGCTAATATCTCTTAGTGTTTACAGTTTTTTTTGTATTTAAATTGAGACGTGATAATATTTGTTCTTAGTATATAAAACATTACCTCGTCGACTTTGAAGCCATTACTAACTGGTCCTCCATTAAATATTCCAAATTGATGAGCAGACACGATAATACACATTGTTAGAAATTTAATTCCATACAGAACATCTAAGCTTTCATCAGAAACTTTCAAAAGATTTTTCGCATTCACTTTCATATCAAAAGCCGCGATTATCCTGTTCCCTAAAATTGTGATTACATTAAAAATTTTCATCATCAATTTAATTTAATAGTTAGCATTTTATAACAAGTATTCGTTATTTTTTAAATTTTAAGATAAAAAGCTCATTTAATATGAACAGCTTACCAAGTTTATTCTTGTCGCAATTTTCGGTTTGGTGCCTTATGATGGTACATATCAAGGTAACTGAACATAAAATTACAGCCATTCCCCTATAAAAAATGAATACATATTATGGTTTATTTGAAATCATTTACTTTCATAAGATAGAAATAAGATAGAAAGAAGGCCTTTTTGAATTAGTGGTAGAAATTATTAATTTGTACCAAATAAATGCTTCTTTATATTTTATTAAAAAAATATAAGTGGAGGTGTAGGTTAATAGCTGCTAATATTATCTTTACTGGTGGTCTACTGGCTAGCGTGTACGGTCACAGATCCGGAGATCCTGGATTGGAGTCCCGGGTCGGGCCGAGTTCAGTGACTGAGTATTTCGGTCAAGAAATTCTCAGTAACAGCTCGAAGTTGGGAAGTTGGCGATGTGTCACTCCCGTGGCTCGGAGAGCACGTAAAGTCGTCGGTCTTGGGCCTAACTCTCACCGTACGTGTCGAAGTATCGTCCCATCGGACTTTGAGAGTGACAGGAATATATACATACGCTGCACTATGATATCTCGATATATAGTTCTTTTTCTTTCTGACAAGTGTACCGTCATATAAACATTAACGTCATAGAAATCATTATAATTTATTTTAAGTAATTTTTATAAAATGAAATATTTTACATACATAAAACCATAAAATAATCCATCGTACTCCATTGTTTCATTGACTTTTTGGCATTTCTCTTTGATTGAGATGTGAGCTCTAAGTCCTGCGGTACCGAGATGGCTGTGTATCAACAACACTCTCGTCAGCCTCTCCACTGACCGAGGCAGGCAGACAGCTGGCGCACAAACTCCCCATGTCAACTTATTGTAAGGACGAAGGAAATCGGATTGGTACTAAAAACAGATTTCTCTTCATTTACTGTTATTAAGACATATGTATTATAAAAGAAAATTATAAGAGGTAAGAATTTTAAAATAAACATTTTTGGAAAATATATATTTTATATGCAGATCATCGTTAAAAAAGCACTTTGCTAAAAAGCTTATATTGTAATTTATATGAGACATTATGTTTACTGGCTATATATGTATTTATCAATGTAATTAAATAATAACCGTGTATCCGTGCGAAATATTATACATGTATTGGGTGTATTTACTAAAAAAAACGTGATTATTCGGAGATCATTACACATAGTCATATATTTATATTAATTAAAGAACTTAAAAAATATGACACTGTCACACACTATCACAAAGAGAACACTCTTTATAATGTAATCTAAAAAAAACTTATATGTAATGTGACATAAAATAATGAAACTTTGCATTTACATTTTGATCTTACCTCCAAAACGTTTAAAGCAGACTGATATGGATCAAATGGGTCAGATATCCTCTTCTTCACACTTTTATCAGTTCTTTCTAGTTCTATATCTGCTAAACAGTACTGAGTTCTCAAATCAGGTTCTTTTTTGTACCACGGTGCATTCATACACTCGTCATAGTTACCAAGATGGTACCTGCTGCCATAAAGTAACCCTTGGGGCTGTGATGCTATTGAGTCCCAATCTAAATAAATAATAATAATGGATTAATTACTTTTAGAAGTTTTACTAACTATATTAAGCTGTTAATTAAAACTTATAATTATGTTTTTACAAGGCGGTTTTAAAGACATTACGAATACCGATTTTAAAGATACATCATTGACGCATAGAAATCTTACCACAGTAGGAAATAGCCAATTTTTTACCCCCGTATAATAACAGTTACATTTGATATAATATAAGAAAAACATAAAAAATTGAAATTGTAATAAATAATTCGTGAATGTTTAATTTTATAAAATTACTTATTATAATTATTATTTATATTATATACTAAGTACTAATTAGTCATATTAAGATTAATTATAGAAAAGGAAGATTATGTAAAAGTCTTCAAGAGTAAAAGTATATCTTTTATTACGAGTCACAGCACAAGATAAAGCTAAAGATTTTCGTTAATATTTAGTTTAAAACTGCAATTCATTAATATAGACAAAAAGATTAAATGTGCATTAAGTACATACATACCTAAAAATGATAATAACGTTATTGGAACATCAACGAACATTTACCACTTATCATTCCATCCATACAATAATTTACAATTATAATACTTACCCCAAACCGCCCAAAGGGTGAAGTTTTGTAAATCGTGAAGTAGTCGTAAGGTTTTGTTTAAACATGGCAATTCTTCTTCAGTCCAATTTTGATTCTTTAACGTGAATAATACATTGTCAAGATATATTCTAGTCTCATTCACACTAACTGTTTTTGGAATTTGTGTTTTCTTTTCACTAATTTTTATTTCCGAAACGTTATTCGGCTGATTTTCTGGCAGTATAGTGGTCGAATCTGATTTTGTTGAAGATGTCACGTGACATTTTATAGTATCAATAACAAATACCACAATAATAACTTTTAATACTTGTTTCATTGTATGCTTTAGAGAACCGTTTGTTTGTAAACTGAAGTTCAATCAAGACAATCTTTCATTTTATGCGGAAAAAATTGTATAATTAAGTCAGGCAATCTTAAGAGTCATCAGTAATTAACATATCTATTGCTATTGTTCATTTACAACGCAGAATGTATAGGGCAAGTGCATTTGAGGGATTCATGTAAAGTTCTCACTCGCTATAAGTTACAACTTTTTCTATTTATGCGAAAGTAAATTTTTCTACGTCTCGATGAAACATGGCGGTAAAACTATACATTCCGGAAATGATACTAAGAATAAAAAAGAATACCTTATTTTTATAACTTATTTAAAAAAAGAGCCACCTGCTGATAAGTTAAGCAACTTCATGTACATCTAGCACCTTTGTTACCTAGCCACATAATCGTTTTATACAGGAGTACGTACTACCTATTCCTTCTAATAGTTCAGTATTTCTATAGTAGGTGGCGCTCCAAGATTTGGGAATAAAATTTTACTATAAACTTAGACGGATATAAACATATCCATTATATAATATAATTATTTTATTTTTATATATTATTTAAAATATTATTTCTACCAAAAACTTATTAAAAATTTCAAAAGTTGATAATCTCTAAAACCTCGCGATTCTATACAAATATGCTTTCATGTTGATCATCAACTTATTGAAATTTAATAAAGACAACAATTGTAGCAAAGTTTATGTAATAAGTAATAGTAATTATCAGTTATATAATAAATAATAGTACATATAATACGGGGTTTTCGCTGAAACGGACTGATACTTTGTATTTTAAAAATAGAACCTTTAAGAGTTTTCTTTTCTAAGTCGATTATAAAATTAAATTGTTTTTTAAATCTTATACATAACTATAATCAAGAAAATGAATAATAATAGAAGTTTCTATGAGTGTATCACCTGCTTTGGTCTATATAAAGATATTAAAAAATCGTCTTATTATTTTTTCTCACAAGTAATAACTTTGTAGAATTTTAAAAATTATTTTTTTTTCTAACCCTCAATTCATTTTATATTTTAGTTATATAATGGCTAAACCAATCAATGCGTGAAATCAAGTGTGAACTCTCATTGTACCATTTTTTTAAAATAAAGATAGTTCTTGAGTTAGTGACATACATATAACACAGCAAAACTAGACTCAATGTTATTGGAACTTAAAATGTGTAATTAAAAATAAATGTCAATTAAATGCAAAACTTTTACAGTTAATCCAAATTTTACATTATAAAAATAGTCCAGGATTCCTTATGAAGCTTTTTGAAGAAGAAACTTGTTCGCACATTCATTTCTGCTTTTTTTATTATACCACATTTCTTACCTTTACATTTCATACTAAAAAGCGATAACCGCGTAAAAAAAAATATTCTAACAAAAATATAATTATAGAAATTCGCACCGCGCATAATCCCTGTAGTTTCGTATTTCGCCATCCACGTTTTCTTACTTGAAAAATTTAGACTAACGTTTTTAAAGTTATACTTAAATTGCTTAAATATTTTTGAGTTAAAAGCTATAACAGGGTTTCTTAACGTTTCTGAAAGTTTTTGTAGGTCTGTCCATTGTTAATCGCTTAACTCGAGACCAGCAACAAATATTTATAAAATACTTATTTGTTGTATAGGTATTTAATAGCTAGAAAACATTAAAAAAGCAGTTAAGTTTCACATACTTGACGTGTATAGTTTAAAAAAAAATTTTTACGCCCTTTATTTGGTTTACGTAGTGGAGGAATAAGAGAACTGCTAGATATAAAGAAAACGATATCAGTATAATTTATATACTTTTATTGGATACAATCATTTACTAACAAATATCTACATTTTAACTAAATTCACCATTTTAAGTAACTACTTACAATTGCATAAATAAGTGCATATATTAAGTACATACAATCGTGCAACACTTGCATTAAATAAGTTAATTGTTTTTCGCAAAATAAGGTAGACATTTAATTTAAAACTTAACTTATTACATTAAATTTAACTATTATCTATTCTAAAATTAAAGTGCTATTATGTATTTTTTGAAAATTTTTACTTATTTAACTTAATTATAGTACAATGTACAACAAATATTTTTGTTATTGTTGTGTTTATGTTACAAATTAAAACTATGGCCAAGTTATTTTATAAATTACAACTTAAAAGATGATCATGAGTAATTAAGTAAAAAAAAGCCCGAATAGTCTTATAGTCCGAACTATGTACGATTCCATATAAATATTACAAATGCATGCATGTAATAATTTTTAAATTTAAACCTTGTTCTTTACATGAAAATATAAATAAAAAAACCTAATAATATTTATGACAGCTAGTTAAACCACATTAAAAACTCAATCAATTTTCTTGTTATAATAATTATGTTAAATTATGATGGGGCTAACTTGTTCGGAAAATGGAAAGTCGGTAAGATAGAGCTTCCTGGTATCGATACTATAACTTAAGAGTCGTTATGAATTTTTTAAATTAGTTTATAAAAGATAAATTGTTTATTAGAATTGACGTATTTTTATATGAATGTTTGAAATATATAATAACGATAACCAGCTTCCGCCGGAAGCTATGAGTTTATAAGCTGCCTAATACCATTACGACGTACTTTTTCTTATGTATAATAAAAATCTCTAAAATTTCTAAATATATGATAATAGCGTCTTTTAATGTACAAATCTTTGGAACGCGTTGCGAAGAACACACTGACTAGATTCCACTCGATATTGTTTTACTAAAATATGTATTATATGTATATAATCTAATCTTAATTTATAAATATTTCATATTTATACTTAAATTATTTTTTTGTTATATACAACGAAAGTAAAATTTATGAAACGTTATTTTTAATGATATGTTGTTTTTTTTTTAATTTAATTGCATATATATTTTTTGGCATATAACATATGATTAAAGTAGATATTCAATATTTATACCTCGAGTAAAGAAAAGATCGTTTAAATGGCTTTGGAAATTAGACATCAATTATTTTATTAAAACTAAAATATTTAAATATGTAGTTATTGTTTTCTTTGATAAATATGACTAGATACAGTTTTTTCGAGATATTTGATTTTTTTGACTAGAAATTAGAGATCTTATTTTAATTATGACTAGTATATAGAAAAAATAGGACTAGATATTTTGACTAGAATCGAATTATAAAAAATATTATTCTTAAAAGATGGTATTATAAATACCGACTAAAATTGACTAGGAATTTTAATGAGATCAATTAATATAAAAATTATAAATAATAAGATGTTCTGTACGTATATGTAAGTGTAAATATTTATTTTTTGCTTTCAACTATAACGACTAACATGACTAGATTGATCTTTGACTTATGTAATTTAATGACTAGATAAAATTTTATTTTAGTTTAGTAAAATATAAAAAAAATATTTGTAAAATATAATAAAAATGGCTTTTAAAATAATATTTTGTAAATAATATAAATTAAAAAAATCCTTTCTTTTTTTGACTAGGTTATAATAGATAAATATAAGTTTTTTTCTGTAAAATATAATAAAAAGGTTTTTTAAAATAATATAAATTAAATATTATTTGTTTTTTGACTAGACTATGTTTTGTGTTAGTCCACTCTTTCTCCGTTAAGAATCGGACTTAAGATTTTAAATATAACTTATTAAAAAAAGTTATTAAATTTCTATTTTTGGGCATTTATTTTTCTGTTTATAACACTTTTCTCGGGAAAGTTAGAGTTGGTAACAGCCTACTTCGTACGACCTGACTTAATTCCGATGTACCTACATACGTTGTTGTTGAAAAAATTATGAGATAGAACGGGTCAGTGCATCTAAAAATATGCTCAAACCGCGATCGATCGCGATGACCCTCCGTGACTTCGATCCGAATGCGATATGGCAAGAAAATTGTCTTCAGGAAAACTGAAATCAATGGGAACTATAGAATTAGTCTACTTTGAGTGATATATTGCTACTGCGCTTGTCATTTGATAAGTAAGAATTAATGTCACCGAGAAATGATATGTAGGCAACATGTTGTAAATAAATCAGGCAGCGGTAGCCCAGTGGTGACGCGCTCGCTTGGGAAACCGAGTGAAACGGGTTCAAATCCCGGGCCTCGCATCTGATATTTTAATGTGCGAATCAATTCGAATATGATTACCACTTGTCTTACGATGAAGGAAAAGCAAGTTTTTGAAAGACATGTGAAGTCCCCCAACCCGCACTTGGCCAGCGTGGTGGACTATGGCCTGATCCCCCCATATTAAAAGGGAAGCCCGTGCCTAGCAGTGGGACTTAAAAAAAGAAATATATATAGGCTGAATACATGTTATAAATACTAATCTGGTATATTATTTTTGTTGAAAATCATATGCTATATGCCAATAAATATGTAATAAATTAATTTGTCATAATGCAAAATATATTTTTATTTATAATAAATCCTGCGTGCGAAAAGCCATAAGTTAAACAATGTTAAATTAATGCTTATGTAAGTTTAGAAGATGCAGTACGAGTTTTCATGAAATATTATGTAATGTAAAATTTTTGGTTTTTGTATTATTATACGATGTTTCTAATAATATACCTATATTTTTAAATTATTTTGTGGCTACGCCTAAGTGATTAATTTCTATGAAATAACACTAATTATATAACACTAATCTTAATAGCTACACACGAGTGATGTTTGACACCTCTACGTGAAAAGAATTTGGAATGTCGCTGTAGGAGATCCTTTGTATTTACATTAATATATTATTTATTAAGTGATGTTTACAACATTTAAATATTACTGTACCACAATCTAAAGACTAACCTATTTAATAACACACTTCTATAAACAGCTAGGGATACTTAAAGTGAACCTAATAATACTTAGAAACTATGATTAAATATTTTTACTATACCTATTATTTTTCTAATTCATAAAATAATAAGTGATAGAGCTTGAAGAACTAAGTAAAATTATTACAATAGAAAGGGTTTATTATTTCTTGAAAACTCCAAGAGCTTTTTAGAGCGCTGATATGAATAAGTGATAAGTTCTAAGTAGCTCTCAGAACCGCCTTCAATGTCTTATTTTTACCTTTCTAGGAAAAATATAAGCTATCGTGGCCATATGAATAAGGATATATGGTGTTCGAGATAGCGTATGGAAACCGCGGCACTGGCCGCAGAATGTGACGTCACCCATCGCTTCCATCGGCTCCCCCGCCCTCATCTTCTGATCCCGTTACGTCTAAGCTACGGGAGTCTTCTGAAGAACAGTTGGAAGGACATCGAGTCCTAGATTCTTCCCAATTTGGTTCAACTAATGTTGGTTTGTTCCAAAAGGTATTGAAATTGCTGTCTCGTAAACCTTCCTGTATCCGTTCCTGTTGAAGAATTACATATGACATTGACGTTTACATATTTTTTTTACTAACTAAACTAAAAATAGCTTATATATTACGAAACATTAAAAAGCTATAACTCACCGTTTGATAAGTAGGATATTCTACATGGACCTGACGAAAAGCTGATGGTTCTTTTTCCGGTTCCGTATCCGGTTGTTCGTGAGCTAAAAGATGTTTTTTTAAGTACGCCTGCCGTCTAAATAATTTGCCGCATTTTTGGCAAGCAAAGCGTCCAGCTTCAGTTGGAACTTCCCTTCGCTTGGTGGCTCCAGGCACGCGGGGCTTATGCCATCGCCGATGTGATGCTAGGTTTGCGGGGCAATTGAAGACCTATGAAAATCAACATCTTGTTATAAAATGGGAAAACGCACCTAACGGTATGTATAAATGTATCCAACAAAGCTTTTAAATAAATAAGTAAAATAGCATAACACCCAATAAAATTAGATCGATAAGTGGAAAAGTACAACTTATTGTTGCATAAATTTACTTCATTGCATCGGTATTAAGGTCATACTTATTATTCACAATAGAGAGTTCATTCTGTGGCGTACACAATTATATTCTCTGTTATTGTTTATATAATTAATCGTTGCCCCATCATCGAGATAAATACTAACAATCCGTCGTCACGCACCACGTGAAGTATCAATTAAGGTGCACAAACATTTTGCTACTCGACATTCAGTTAGAACGATTCCCATGGAAATGTGCCAAGTGTTTACAATCGCCACCCTCGTGTAATTTGTTCCCACACGACACGAAAACGTTTTTCAATGACCGTGTCAGAAAATGAGGCGAGATCAATAAAACTAATGATTGGTGAGATAAACATCATGATGCATCGTTGTATTTAATTGAAAGAGTTATCTATAATTATGTATAAATCTATAATAAAAAATATTTAATAATTATGTAATTTATTAACTCTATTAGTTCATAATAACTAAATATATTTACACGTTTTTATTATTTGTAATTGTAATTATTATAGCTAATATGTAAAAGTCATATATACTATTTTTCATTTTAAAATTGAACGCTTTGCCAATATGATAAGCATTTATGTATAAGTTATTTTTATACATTATTGTTTCTATATATAATTTCAATAATTATCTTTAGGCACTTTATGCGAAAAATCTGAATTGAAATACAACAATAAAATATATTATGTGTTTACCTTATCACATTCTGGACAGCGATACTCAATGTGCACTATTCTTGAACATCGATGTTGTGCGAGGGCAAACGCGTCGCTGTACAACCGGCGGCATAGCCTACAGATGTACCTTCCCAATCGATTCTCTATTGTAGCAATTAGCGCTTTAGCTTCCTCCGTTACTTCAACTACATTAAACGCTGGGTCAATATCCCCCTAAAAATAATATTATAATATATTCATTGTGATTTTGAAATCGACTATGAAAGTAGTTGTTATTTAGAAATGTTGGCGGGGTTAAATTCAACTGTATTTGGGAAAAATATCGGGTAAGAAGTCGTGCAAATGATTTATTCTTTATCTAATGTCCCTAAGGCCCACCCCTTGCTATGAATGTCGCGGCTCGCCCTCAGGACTGTTATTAGCGCAAAAACACAACACAATAAGCGATTTCATAGCGTTTAATTGCCGAAGCGATAAGGAAAGTCACCCACAACCCATTGTAATGGTATGGTTAGAACATTTAATTAACAGTTTCAGAGCATATTTGCCACTTGTTTTACCTAGTACGAATAAATGATAAGATTCGTTTCTTTTTAAAAATAATATTATTTCCTTTTAGCGATATTCTTTCCATACTTATTATTATTAGAATTATTAAGTATTAAAAGTATATTGATGCTAACCTAAATAATTAAATATTATCAAATGAAATTATAAAGAAAAATATGATTATTATTAGACTATATTTAATAATAAAGAAGTAGTCGTTTACCTTTCTGACCACTAACGTTTCATCTTCTGCAAGATCTCTTATGATCGTCCCAGAGACTGGTGAAGTTTTGTCTTCATCGAACATTAGTCGTCTAACTACTTTACTTTTTTTCAACGGCTGTGGGGGTTTGGGTGATTTTTTGGGGCGTTCTGCAACGTCTTTAATTTCAACGATATCAGGAGAGCTTCGCTCGCTCTTTGCGCCATCACCTTCATTCGGAAGGCAACTTCGAAGCTCCTCAAAAAACTGCTTTGTAAATTTAAGCTTTTTAGCCTCGGGACTATCGCTATCGTTTGAAATGTCGTCATCACATTTTCTCTTTTGAATTTTATCCTGTGATTCCTCATTATTACTGGCATCAGTTTCTTCAAAATGCCGAAATATTTTTGCCGGTTTTTCATTTTTTTTTTCATCCGCTAATTTTCTTTTTTGTAAGGGTGGGGGAGTGCATGGCGGAGTGATTGGTGTAGTGGATTTAAGCGATAAGTCGAGTGGTACTACAGGTTCATTGTAGTATGCTAAATACTGTTGAAGAAGGGTCGGATGTTGTTGAGGAATTAAATCGTGAAGATAATTGCTTGAAATTCGAACTGGCGGCGCCGCATAGTGTTGATAAAATCGAGATGTTGCGAGTCGATGAAAATGTGGTAATGCTGCTTCCATATTCAAACGTCCACACCCGATAGTTTGTGATGAATAAAGAAATTCATCGTCCCATATGTCTGTATTGATCTTGACTAAGAAATCTGTGGACAAAAATAATAAAGTAAAGAGGTGTTCAAGCTCAAGCGAATGGTGTAAAAGAATAATGTTAAAAGCCCATTTTGTTGATTGTAACAATGTACTTCAACTAACGAAATTGCGCTTTTCTATAAATTGATTTTTCGCACAAAGGAACACGTAGAATTTATCTCTTTGTAAATATATAAGTAGACTCTACATAAACACATTTATTTACTATATGTTTTCATTTATACTCGTATGTACATAGATTGGGAATAATATCTGCTACAAGAATGTTAGTTTATTCTATTTATATTATCAGGCTTCGTTTATTGACAAGCGAAATGAATTGGGGTTAGTTAAACCATGTTGTCTAATTACTGTCGCCGAGATCGCTCCCACGCTCACCCTATTGTGCCCTACCCTAGAGACCTACGCCGAATTGAATGTACAGGACCCTTGTCCCTTAATACTTTCTATGTATTTTGGCTTAAAGCAAATAGCATGAATAAGTTATGCCTTAATGGCGGTGTTATGGTTTGGTCTTGCACAATTATTTAGAATGCAAATACTGCGCTTCCTCTGAGGGCGTCGTCTAGTAGAGGAAAAAAGTGACTTTTTTTAATTGTTTATTTCAACAAAAATTGGTACTATTTTTCTTACCAAAGTCATAATATAATACTCACTTTATAGTGATTTGATGAAAAGGAAATTCCTATCATATATTCTTTTAATATTATACATACGTTCTTGATAAAAAAAATATAGAAAATCAAATAATAAATAATAAATAGGTTTGACAAGCTTTTTACTTATATTCCGATTGAACAATAATCCAGGGCGGTTAATTTTTATACTATTCAAAGTATTTATTTATTTACATATATCAATATATTATTATATCTATTTCATTTATTATTAGAAGATGTTAGGAATAAAAATATGTTTAAGCGTTGGTTTGGGCGGGATCAAGTATTTTGTCGTTAATATTTAATGTCGTGGGCGGATAGCGTTATAGGGCGGAGCTTGATCAACTTATCTTAAAACAGTTATGTTTTCATGTATATTATTAAAAGCTTATAAATGACAACAGTTGCTTGACATAAAAATCTATACATATAATAAAATTGAAACTGATCGGTAATATTTGAGAAAAACTATTATTGAGGGTCTTTATTTACGCAATAGAACCCAAAACAATGATTTTTAGAATTTTTGAACGTTTGTCTGTGCGTTTGCGCGCTAATCTCAGAAACGGCTAAACCGATTTGGGTGCGGTTTTCACCACCAATGTATTGTGGTAAGCTTCACTTAACATTTACTATTGGTTTTATTTCAATCGGTTTATAAATAAAAAAGTTATGTCAATTTAAAAAATCACCTAAGGACGCTAGTATTACACAGAATGTAATGAATGTTGTAAAATTAGTATTCCATTAAAATTATGACACTACATGTAGCGGCCCTCAAAATCTCGTTTTCAAAGGTATAACTTGTCTGTTTATATAATCGTTGAATCTACTGACTAGATTTTAAAAACCGTATCTCTGATAGAAAATAACTCATTTCCTTTATTAACATAATTGTATTGGTATTGTTATTAAGGTTTCTTTTTAGTAAGGTATATTTACGAATAATATACGAAATAATATACTTAGATACAGTCGACGTCGACTTTATTTTATTTTATGCAATAGACATTTATTAACGTATTTGATTTAACAAACGATCGGTTACAATATACCGTTAAATTATAAAATTATTACATCCAGTAAGTTATAACATACTATAATTAGAGTAAGTATAAGGTGTTAATAACAGCTTTCGATTGAATCATTTCATGTCAAAAGGGAATTGACGTTTGAATAATTTATTAAACTACTAAAAAATTAAAACTACACTAAAAAATTTAGCTATAAGCCATATTTTAATACAATCCTTTTTATGACCTTTGAGCCAAAATAATATTCTATGTATATTTTTTATTCTTCTTCCTTTTATTTTCCTTCCTTCAAATTCTAAATAATCTATACTAATATTATAAAGAAGCAAAGTTTGTAGTTTATGAGATTGTGATGTTGTAGGGGGTAATCTCTGGATCTACTAAACCGATTTAGATGGAATTTGGTAAGAAGATAGTTTGAGACCCTGGGAAGGACATAAGATACTTTTTATCTCGGAAATCCTGCTTTAAGGGGGTGAAAATAGGGATGAAAGTTTGCATCGGGAAGCAAGCTAGGAACGGACGAACCTGAGCGAAGCGAAGGTGAGCCGCTAGTTAAAAAATAATATTAAATTCGTTATGGCACTGTCTCACTCAGTTATAATATTTCTACTAATATTTTTGTTAATGTTATAATTTTTAACTTATGTGTCAGTGAGTCGCATTAGTCAGACGGCACGCGACATTTCTGCCTAGGTGCGTTACGTGTAGGGTTACACGTTTTACTTTCTAACCACCCCCCGCTAAATGATCAGTTGTAATACTTGTTATTAAAGGGGTAAGCAGGTACCTTTATAAATTGAACTATTATACTATGATTATATTATGTTATAGAGATATTAGTTTTATTATTATGGAAATTATTACAATATAGAAATAATATAAATAATAATAGTATTTTAAAAATATTACTAATCTTATTTATTTCATATATTTTATCACAGAAACATAATGCAGAAAGTTTTTCCGAACATTATAATGCTTTAAAGAAATCTAGTAAAAAAATAATAACTTAATTATGTAATATAATCTGCAATGAATAGTTTGTATCAATAAAATCAAGGACTTTATAGCTAATGACCCGCCCTCGCTTTACTCAACCTACGAGTATAAGTACCCCGCGTGGTAACCAGGTACTCTTTAATACACTAATATTCCATAGGTATCATTTTTTGTAGCTGGATAAAATGTAGCCTCTATAATTAATTGTCACGCTTTAAAATATGCAAATAGATTATTATATATGCAAAAAATCAAGTTGATTCGAGGTCCGTTCTTGCGTGGAAGTGCAATAAAGGACAAGCCAATAAATACTTGCCATTAAAAGTAGTATTTAAGTATTTACTTACAAATAATATCTAGTACATTGGCGACCGAGCCTCACTCGGCGTTTTTATTTAAAAATCGTGTTTTTTCAGTAAACATATAAAAATGCGTTTTTTCTAAAAATACTCTTAGATAGATAGACTTAAAAAGCAAAACCTTATTTAAATACAAAATTTGATCTTAATCATTATAACCGTTTCAAAATACACCAAATGAATGTATATTTACAAGTATTGCTCCATTATTATAAGATAATTGTGTGCTCTACATTTAATTATAAACTTAATTTCTGAAGTGTTTCAAGTTTTATTAAGTTTAATTAAATTTATAATAAAAAATATTACTTTTCTTCAATTAAAATAAAATATTATAATTATTTACACATCTTATTTAATTATTACAAAAATTGCATTTAAAATCAAAAACCCTTTGATTTAAAATTTAAGTAGTTATTAATTTCGAGTAATACTCTACTATTATTATAGTTTTTTATTATCATTATAGTACATTATTATAGTAAAAGGAATTTTAAAGATTCTTAACTAAGATTGAACTAAGATTGTACTCATGAGATATACTATTTCATCCTACATTCACGGGTTTCCTACAAACTTTGACTAGCTACGTGCACGAGAGACCCAAAGAGTAGAACTTGTTCTTCTAACTGAAACTGATAGTTCTGATTTTGCATGTTATGTTACACACATCTATCAGATCTTGTATTGGATATCCATAATAATGTTTTACAATTTGTTATAAATTTATAAAAATAATGACACTGTACAGTGTTGAAATTTATCATATATTGAAATATAATATGTATATCAATATAAAAAAAAAGAAAATGTTAGAGTACCAAAAATTTTAAAATTAAAAAACAAATTCAAACTTCCATTAAACCGGACATTTCACCTATACATTCGCGAAAGGTTTAGGGTGTTACTATGGTAAGAATAAATGAGTCATACCTGTGCTCCTGCTGACTCAGCCGGCGGCACCCCTGAGACACTTTGGAACTGGTGGGTTATGTGAAATAATTGTGAACTATTTAAAACTGTTGAATGATGTCGGTTTAAAAGTTTGGTGTTTAGTCAAGATAGGGGTGCGCGGTCCGCTCGGCAGGGCGGTCGGGAGAGGACTGACTGCAGGGTGCGTGCCCCGGCGCGTGCCCGTTAGTTTCAACCCTCACACGAGGCTATAGTGGGGGTAACTTTTTTCGTTTGCATTTTATTTAAAAGCAGGTTAGATACAGCATATGTCTGATTATGATAAGGGATAGTAACTCTATTATTTGTTCATTTTGATTTTTGATGTATTGTAAAATATTTTTTGGAATAAATAAAATATTTTAAATATATAATTATAGACATGTCTTTACAGAAAGTTAAGACTTTTGATGTTTTTATATAGTTTATATTATAACATTTTCATCGGAAAATGGATAGATCACAATGATATTACACTTATTATTTACGTTAGAAAAACGAAGTGCGTACTGGTATGATTGAGCAGTGGTCCGTCTCAGTATCTCTACGCCCTGTAGATGTAAGCGTTCTGTATCTCACGATCCACCAAATTGTGAACCCTCATGCTCTACGTTTACCGAGTTTTTTTTACTATTCAAAGATAAAACCCGCATCTTACATCATTACTTGTTAGCAAATCGCTTAACATTGCCTGTCTCTAGTTACAGGTATAGGATAGAGCAGGTGAAACAATCAACGAGTTTATCATGAACTTGAATAAATACAAGGTTTTGATGATAATGACTATACTTACGAGTATTCTCTTTTGGAAACATTGAGCGTTTTATTTTAGTAATCAATCTTTTACAGAAAAAGAAAACACACTTTTTAATTATTAACAGTTTGCATTAGAAGATATTTTTGGAGTTTACAAATTATTTAGTTTTATTATATTTAGTTGTGTACAACATACCTATGTAGGTATGTTGCAAAATTTTTTGACTTAGTT